CTTGACTAAGCCTCAAAGTGGGGAGAAAAATACCTGCCCACTAAGGTGAAATGAGTTTTATCTCGCCCATTTAGAATTATGAATAATGTAGAACGTCAAAGACCACGTTGATTAGGTTTATCCTCAGAAAGCTTTTCTGTTTAGCAGATGAGAGAAGAATTATAGGAAAAACAGTTAAATTTTGGTTTATTCCCTATTTTTCATCCACTGGAAAGATCTGTGGTGACTGAGTTAAGCATAGTTTGGGTAACCATGTTTCACTAAAACAAGATACATTCATGGAAGGCTTATTTTGGATCAATCAGAAAAATTTTATAAGTATGCACCTGAACTGGACATTAAAATATCTGAAGAAGTGGAGGAGAATCTAAAAGGTATTTTAAATAGGCAGATGGTATGAAAAATGTCTGCCAATTTATTAGAAGTGGCATAATCTGTATAATTCAATCTCAGTGAAAAATAAAACCAAACATGATATATTGAAGAAATAGCATAGCTCTAGTTTCGGACAACTAGATATTGATAGACCTGACCTTCAAAGAATTATATTCTTCAGTCCTATATATAAGACATAATTAAATAATAACATCAACTGTGAAGATATGCCCCAGTAATGGCATGGTTAGGACATGCTGGATCTGTGGCTTGGAAGCAAGAAGGTCTCCAGGAAGGAGCTGAGAGTTGAGCTGGAGGTTAGTTTTCAGATGGGTGGGAAGAGGCAAACGGATCCATTTGCGTACTCCATTCTCTCTCTCTCTTTCTCTCTCTCTCTCTCTCTCTCTCTCTCTCTCTCTCTCTCTCTCTCTCTCATCTCTCTCTCTTTCTTAGGAGGCAGCACATTTTTAAGGTTACCTTTAGGTCCTGAAGGTTTCTTGTGAAATCATGATTTCATAATTCATTAGCAAATAAATTGTTATAAGTTATACATAGTCATCTCCAAAGATTGTCATCCCAAAATAAAATTACTGCTGTCATTGTGGTATTAGATACCCCAAATTAAATTCTACTTTTTCAGCCATAAAATTTAGGAGCAAGGATAAACTTCTCCAGAGATAAATATTTCCAGAGTGAAATAGCCAAAATACTGGGGGAAAAAATCAAAAGAGAAAAGAATTTGGGTAATATGGTCAAAAGCAAAATGGCATTTATCATCCTCTTTCATCTGCTGGAGCTATGCTAAATACTTCTGATAACAGAGTACATAAAATTAATGCAGAACCGAAGAGCCTAGTTTGAATTGAGGTAGCAGAGGAATTTGAGTGTCTTTTATCTGATGATATAATAGAATTTTTTCTTCAGTGAAGCTGGCTTAGAAAGAAGCTGGAATATTATGTAAGTGGATCAGAAATAGTGTGTTTTGAAAAGTCAAATCCCTTTCTGTATTACTTTGTCTGCTCTTGACCTGGATTGACTTACTAATATTTACTTCCTTAGCTTCTGTGGTGGATTATTTGATTCTTTGTCCCTCATCCATAAAGATGTGTTAGTCCCATCCTTGAATCTCAGGTGGCACTGCGACTGCTTAGCCAATAGGATGCCGTGGAAATAACCTGTGCCGATTCCAGATCGAGACTTTAGGAGGCTGGGCAGCTTGCACTTCCTCCCTCTAGGAATGCTTCCTCTCAGAACCCAGCTGCCACACCGTGAGCAGCCCAGCCACTTAGAGAGGCCACATGTTGGTGCACCATCTGTCAATCCCAGCTGGGCTCCCCGCTGACATGAGCATCTTCAATGTGTCAGCCCAGTTGTATCTCCAGCTGTTTCAGCCCCAGCTGCCATCAAATGGAGCAGAAGAACCACTCGGCTGAACCCAGTAAACCTGCAGACTAGTGAGATAATATACAATGGGCATTACTTTTCGATATTTCAGGGCAGTTTATTTCATAGCAATATAGAAATGAAATAGCTTTCCAAAGAAAATCCTCGAGCTGGGACTGCAGAAGAGTTCATTTCATTTAAACTATAAATAGATAATATTTAAATAGCCTGTGCTTAATCCTTACAATGTCTGAAAATCAGCAGGCAAAATTTTAGGGCGCTATCATTGTGGAAACTAGGTGCCTTTAAGTTTGTTTACTAACTACATTAAGGTAACGGCTATTTCAGTGTTTCACTTTCTGGTTTGCTTATTCTCCCACTGAAGTGATAGGTAAGCAATACATAATCACATGTGTTCTTTTGATTAAAAAAGAGATGCAATATTTTTTCATCATAAACGGCATGAGTCAGCCTTTTGCTCCGGTCTTGATCCTGCAGCTTAAATAGCTCTGCGTCCACAGCCAAGTGACCTAAGCTGCCTCAGTCTGTGAATAGGTACTATACAGGATTTGTGATGACAAAAAACAATGTATGTTAAGAACCAGGCAGAGTTCCTGGCACAAAGGTAGAGCTCAATAAATGTAACTTTTGTTGTTATGAAGGAGGTAGGAATGTGGTTTTTAAAAGGTAGTAAAAATTTGTCTCTTGTTCATTTTTAAGGGGCCATTGAAATAGGGGTGAAGTCTAAAGAGTTAAATTGATATCTCTTTGCATTTCTTCCTACAAACAGGCATGTTTTAGCTGAAGGGAATTCTGATCACATATGTACACTACCCTTCCTCACATCATTATTGCTCAAGAGGATTTTTAAAGGGTTAAAGGCAACTTCTGCTTCTGGCTCCTATTCTCAAGGACAGAACTCATGGAGAATTCCTTTTATTCTTTATCTGCTGTCCTACTCCCTTTCCTCTGCTACAGTCACCTTCCATTTTGGTGGGAAACAACTTTGTAGGATGCAGGCTTTCCACAAGCTGATCTGAGCTTCAAGGTGCTACAGGGGTCTGATCCATGTACACATGCCACAGTCTGAGTTGTATAGTCCAGGAGGAAGAACAGCTGTGCCAGCCCACAGGGCTGTCTGTTTTGTCCTAGCCTTTGTATAATACGTCGTTTTCCTTTGTTAAGTGCTGGGTGTCTTTGATAGGACAGCTAGTGCTTATTAATATCTCTGTCTGCTAAGTATATTTGATCCTAATGGTTAAGGAGAGGTGAGTAGTTGTTATTTGGGCAAGTTAAGGACCACTTTTCTTAACTATTCTTGATATCTTTCTTCCCTGTCTGACTTGGGCTACCTGAAGCCCATTTATTTTGGTCTTTGAAATTTAGATGACCTTGTCTGTGGATGAAATGCCAATCTATTATACTTGAGTGAAATATTGGTTGGAGGTAGAATTGAGGAGTTAAGTGCCACATATTTAGCTTGAGTGATATTTAAAGGAATAATAAATTACCCTAACTTAGCATAAGCAATTCATTGCTTGTATTGGTTTTGAATATTTACATGAATATTGGTAATTAAAATCTTAATACCTCTCAGTTTGAATACTGTAAATGCTTCAGTATAGATTTTCTATGAAGTGAAATTTCATGTTCGTTGCTAGAATCCGTAAGAAAATTCTCACTACTTTAAAATCTAATAGTTAAAGCTAGAAATTAAGCATACAAATTATTTTAAGACACCAGTTACTGGGATATAAGTGCAGATTATGCACAAGTGAACTTTAGGATAACTCATTTTGCTCATAAGCTTGTCATAGTCATAATCACTGTTATTTAAATTGGTTCGGGCGTTTGTTGTGGTTGTTAGCTATAGTACTGCAAACGCATTTTAAGATTTTATTATTCTTCTAACTATGTATAATTATGGACTCATTTCATTTTGAAAGAAATTATAATATTCTAATTCCATGCCCACTTAAAGCTGAAAAATAATCCAAAGCAGTGAAGATTGCACTACACAAAACTGAATGTGCTTAAAGCGGATTTTTTCAGGACTCGAGCCTCAAATTTTATTGCTCCTGAGACTCATGATGGTTATATAATATAGATTTAAAGAGCATTTTTGAGTCTCCTGTTGACATAGGTGAGCAAAATGCTTCCTTGGAAACCATTCAATGTCCATTCACAGTAAAGCATGGGTTAAAGGGCCAGATACATACAGTAGCTGATGTGCAATGACCGGCAAGTTCAGGGGAGCCTGTCTCTGTTAAGGGCAGTGCATTTCTTTTGCTCTTTTAACGACTGCTGTTTTAAAAGGGGGAAAAATCAGCATGGAAACGATCTGAGGTAGAGCTGCTGAAACCTAACCCCAAAAGGCATGCTCTCACAAAAAACTCTTCTTAGTTCTTGCAGTGCAGTTATGGCCGTGGACATGTGGTATACATTACCTCGCCCAGGGAATTCAAACCTCCGCAGTGTGGAGTCACAGTGAAGGCTAATTTCAAAATGAAGTGGTAGCCTTTGCTCCCTGGGTAGCTCTGTTACTGACCAGTGTTTCTTATTAGCTTGACTTAGTCTAGGGCTGCTGTGGGTGGGACAGGGAAATGGAAATTTAAAGGGGACCGGAGTTAGGATATATATTTATAAACCTCTCTTCCCTGCCCAGCAGCCCCCTCCTCCAGCACACACTCAGCAAGCACTTCGCACTGGGCATTACAAAGTCTCACACAATCTTCATGCAAAGGGCTGGAGGCAGAGCTGTCCATGGTTAGCAAAAACTTCCTAACTGTTGGTTGAAAATCCGGTAATAGTCCTCTCGGTGAACAAAACTTAGAGGGCTGCGGAAGGAACGCGAGCTCTCAGCAGCAGGCAGGAGAAATTGCTGTTGCAAAGCTTACCTCTCTGGGGAGGAATCAGATATCAGACTTTGCCAAGCCTCAGGTCCAACCCATAAGGTCCCACCTACAGCCCCCACCCTATCCCAGCTTTGTTAGATTGCTAGCATCGATCGCTGGCTTTTCTCTGACCCAACCGTGGGTGAAGGAAAGAGCCAGCAAGACTGAAAGCAAACAAGGCGGGGGGTGGAAGACTGGGGCGGTTTTTGCAGAGAAAAAAGAGAGAAAGACAAGGGGTGGGGGCCATGGGGACCAGGCTTAACGGGTGCCTGCCTGCTTCTCTTTGATTTGATGGCCTTTATTCCTTCTAATTGGATAAAATAGGAAGTCACTGGCAGTCCTGTGTTGCTGGGGATCCTGATTTTCCTCAGCCCAGCCAGCAGCTCTAGAGTGCGGCTAGAGGAGGGTGGGGGCTGGGAGAGGAGGGAGGAAAAAGAAAAAGACTGAGAGAGGGAGAGAACGTCTTTGAAAGAGGAGGGGAAAGGAAGAGCAAGGGACTATGAAGAAAGGGAGAGCCGCAGGGGAAGAAAGTGAATGAGCGCTCCTGAAGCACAAAGAGGAGTGGCTGGGGGTGAGGGCGGAGGCAGGGCGGGGAGGGGAGTCGCCGCCCCTCCTGGCCGCACTCTTCCCTTCGGGTCCCTCTGCGATGATGCCGCTGGCAGTGATGCTGCGAGGGCAGGCACCTGCTGCTCTGTAATGATTCAGCCCCGCTCGGCCGCCGCATTAACACTACAGGATGCTGTTGCTACTGCCACTGCTGCCTCTCCCGCCGCCGCTGCTGCCGCCGCCGCCAGCGCTGGTCCTGCTTTGGCTCCTACTTCTGCATGACAGTTGTTTTCTCCATCTAAGCAGATACCAGCTTCAGAAGCTCGAGGTGAGGAACGTGCCTTTCAGTTTGGGCTACTGGTTTACGTAATCGACCCGCCCTCGGGCAGCCGGGTTTCTATTTTGGCCCCTGTCCTCTGGACCAGCCGGGATGGTTTGGAGAAGCATTTAAAAGAACTGCCAAAGTGGCCCCCAAACAGCGGTCAAGAATTACAATATACTTTTGTTTGGTAGTTGCTAGAGGCTTTCCCCCCCTCTCCTTCCTGCCTCCTGAACTCCTCTTGCTTGTGATAATGGCCTTGGACTTGGACGACTTATCGATTTCCCCCTGTAAGATGCTGTCTCATTTGGTTGGGGGGGGCTCTGCATGGTAATGGACCGTGAGAGAGGCCAGGCCTTCTGGAGGTGAGCCGATGGAGATCTATTCCCCAGACATGTCTGAGGGGGCCCCCGAGAGGTCCTCCAGCCCCTCCACGCAGCTGAGTGCAGACCCGTCTCTGGATGGGCTTCCGGCAGCAGAAGTCATGCCAGAGACCCAGACTGAAGATGGGAGAAGCTCCGGCCTCGTGGGCCTGGCGGTGCCCTGCTGCGTCTGCCTGGAAGCTGAGCGCCTGAGAGGTTGTCTCAACTCGGAGAAGATCTGCATTGTCCCCATTCTGGCTTGCCTGGTCAGCCTCTGCCTCTGCATTGCCGGCCTCAAGTGGGTCTTTGTGGACAAGATATTTGAGTATGACTCCCCCACGCACCTTGACCCTGGGGGGTTAGGCCAGGACCCTATTATTTCTCTGGATCCAACTGCTGCCTCAGCGGTGTGGGTAGCATCTGAGGCATACACTTCACCTGTCTCTAGGGCTCAGTCTGAAACTGAGGTTCAAGTTACACTGCAAGTTGACAATGCTCTTGTGTCCTCTGAACCTTCCGCGGTACCCACCCCGAAGAATCGTGTTTTTGCTTTTTCTTTCTTGCCGTCCACTGCACCGTCTTTCCCTCCCCCCACTCGGAACCCCGAGGTGAGAACACCCAAGTCAGCAACTCAGCCACAAACAACAGAAACTAATCTCCAAACTGCTCCTAAACTTTGTAAGTAGAGAGAGAGACGATGGTGAATAAAGGCCAGGGGGTGGGCTCGAGGTCCTACAAAGTGTTCCCCAGAGCATGTAGCTGTTTTCTTTTCTTCTTGTGCTCTAATTGCATGGTTCCGTTTAAGCCTATCATGTGACTGGGATGCTTCGGGTGGCGTTGAAGAGAGGAGTAAAAAGATGTTGCAAATTGCTGGCATGAATCAGGGCTCTAGCAGCAACTCCTTCTAGCTGGATTGTTAAATCTGGGGTGGGGGACCCGAACTTCAGCATCTTCAAGTCATGCTTGAATATAACTTAAATTCAATTTATTTCTAACATTTTTTGAAATTAAAATATCAGATCATCATTTATTCATGTAAGTGTAACTTCCATATAGCAGTGAGTATGATTTTGTGTCTTTCTTTTCCCCATATCATCTTCCCGTTACCTCTCTTCATCTTTCAGTTCCCCTCTGCCTGCCAGCAATCCCCATCCCCATCTCTTCTTCCTAACCACCTCTCCCCATGTTTGTATTTCAATCAGTTCTTCCGGATACTGCATCAAGTCTTTATACATTTACAGTGCTCATCTCTCACTGCCATCAGATGATTGGTGTCCTGCCCAGATTGTTGTTTTGGTTACTGGGCACTTATTAGGGACAGCCTTATTCTATTCAAGACACAGTACAATCCTGCATGAAAGGATTTTCCCAGATTGCTCTTGTCTTCTGTAATCAAATGTTTAAGTAGCGTCTGTGGTGGTCATTAAAAAGTACAAGGCTCGTTAGTAAGGTACATCATTGTTTGTCAGGCATGTGTCATTTGCTTGTCAGGTAGCAGCAGCCCAGCTTAATAACCTGGGAGTGAGAGAGCCCACGCTTTTAAAACAATACAGAACAGTATGCTGCTGTCTGCCCTGGCTCGTCGCAATGCTCTCTAATGGAAAGTTGACAAGGATGAAACCATGACTAGTCAGAATGTTGTAAACATCAATAGAAAATGGAAGAGTTTTCTATTGCTTTTTAAAAATGTTTCTAATTTACTTTTATCTCCTATCACTGTTTTCCATTGATGAGGATGTCCTTAGTAGAAAAATTTAAAAGATCAAAGAACTTGGTTCTTAGTAACATATGTGGAATCTCTTAGAGTTAAAGGTGAGTTGAGGATAAGGATTCGGTGATGAAATACTCCTCCTTTTGTTTCCCTCTCGATAGTAATACAGAATAAAGAGTATCTCTTCCAGAACCTGTGTGTTACAGAAACACAGGAGAACTTGATTTCTGCTTGTGATTCAAGACTGTTTCTTACACACCAGTTTCAGTGGCAAAGATTGAGAGAGAGAGAGAGAGAGAGAGAGAGAGAGAGAGAGAGAGAGAGAGAGCTTGTTTTTCAGGTGTAATTAGGGAAGAAGCCTCTTTCTGCAGACACTGCTTTGTATCTTTATCAAATCCCTGAAGCATCATTAAAGGTCTGACAGACATCACTGCATTCACCGCCTCTTCCCACCTGGCAAAGTGACCGGGAAATAATACCCAGATGAAATGACAGGCTATAAAAAGCAAGTACAGATCCTGCAAGGAGAAGCAAAATTCACCGAGAGGACAAGGTTACTCCTTTGTCTTTAGCGTTTTAAACTTGTCTTTAATGAAAATGGGGCCGAATAGGTTTACTGGTCCAGTAAAGGAATAGGAAGCCTTGGGAAAAACTTGTCAGCTAAATTCTGTAATGTTGTCATTGGAAGAAAACAAGCAAACAAAGAGAAACATCCAGCACATTTTCCTGATCTAGGACCTATCAAAAAGTATCTGGTGACTTTATGAGAAATTAATGTTTAAGGTAAATTCTTCTGTTAAGTGTTTTAATACATTATACATCCCATATAGTTTCTTTAAAAAATTTCTTTTGCAAGCCAGGGCATTGATTTTCTGGCATTTGCATTGAGTGGGAGAGATTTACTGCTGCCTAAAAGCATCACAGTGACCAGTGCCGGCCTGATGCACAGCTGCAGCCTTCGGAAGTGCAATGGAAATAAGCCTGGAAAAGCAGTCTGGGAAGTAGTTTTCTCCTGGAAAGTTAGCAATGGACCGTTGGTGAACACTGTGCATCCGATAGGGTTTTCTGTGTGGGAAACTCTGTGTTAATTTTTTTCTAGTAGTGCCTAAAAACAAATTATTAGTATCTCCAAAATTGTGAGTCTTTTTTGTTAAAGGTTGGTCCTTAGAGCTTTGTTTGCAGACCCTCATAAGTGGTCATGTTTGCTGTTTAAATACTTGTAACCATCAACTAAAGGGAAGCAAAGGGGGAAAAAAAGGCTTGGAACTGAATTTTGTCCTTTTGTAATCTCTCTCATTTTTTTTTTTCTTTTCATCTAAGGAAGTATTGCTTAGTCACAGAAAGAACAGGAGCTTTCGTTTCATCATGCATGCTTTTGACATGAACTAAGCATCATCATGTATATTTTAAAATGACATTATCGTATCTGAAACATGCTCGTCATTGGTTTCAGGAGTTTCTCCCTCTTCTATCTGTCCCAGCATATTCAGCACATTATGCTCAGAGCTGTAACCTTCAAGGTCATAGTCTGTTGAGGGCTAATTGATTCTTCTTTATCCTGGAGCCTGAGAAAGGGGAGGAGAGACAATCCTAGTAATTGTGTCTGCTGTGTTATTTCCCAAACCAATTTACCCATTAGTATTAGGGTTTTATTCTAGAAATACTAGAATTACTCCCTTCCTCCCTGATTTCTTTAAAATAAAACATCCTTAGTCTTCATTATAATAAAAGGCAAAATATAGCATTTTAAATTGCCTATAGATATAGTGGCTATGCCAGCTTTCTTAAAATGGGTATTTCTTTCATAAGGTAATATAATTTCAAGTTTTCACCATATTAATCTATGCATACGATATATATGTTAAGGATTCTAATATAAGGCTGGAAAATACATACACTTCTGTATTTTCTCTGTGTAATTAGTGGTTTTTTACTACCACATTATATCACCATGATAAGTTAATTTTTTTTATATTTTAGCAAGTCACATAACACTTGAACCATTCATTTGTAGGATTATTTTTCCTGGGCTTTAAAATTTTTCCTGCCCTCTAGAAAAAACTGATTGGAAGATTGCAAACTTAAGATTACTAAAAAAGAGCTGATTAATTAAAGTGCAACCAGGAAACTCTGGTCCTGAAAAAAATGTATTTCTCCTTGGGGCAGCCTGCTTGACAACAGACTCTTAGATACAAGCATTTATTGGTATTTTCATCTTAGGCCAAATTTGTTTTGCTTTGTCTTAAATCTTTGTATTGGGTGGCATGGCAAACCACTGTGACCTTAGTGACATTATGAATCATTACTGTCTGCAGAGCTCAACATGATTCATTCAATTTATCAAAGGATTTCTTCCCTTCAATTTAAAAATGGTCTTCATTTTTAGCCCAATAGATTCTTCTAGATCCGTGCAACTGTTCTTGTTGGTATTTCAGAATGGTGTTCTCAAATAAATAACTTTCCTCCACTTTGACCATACTTATTTTAAGCCTTAGGACAGTAAAAACTAGAAGAAATGGAAAGATCCTCCATTGGACACAAATTATTTTATAAATTTACTGAGGAGGCAATCCAGACTCTGAAAGAGTTCATGAAATTCTTTTACTAGAATTCACAAACTCTGAAAGGTTTGGTGACATCCAAAGAGTAGAGAGCAGATCAGTGACCTATCTCCTATCCTCTTTTCCCTGTTGTAGAGAGTTAGACTTAGAAACTCACTCTGGTATCTGATCTACAGTTAGGGAACACTTAGAGTGGGACCACTGGTCAGGCGTGTATAGTTCATACTATTAAAATTCAATGTTCTTCTTGCCTTCTTGCTTTGGGCTTACACAATTTTCAGTAGAGGCGGTCTTTTCCCCTTTTAATTTGACCAGCCATACAATGTTCAGCTTGCTTTTGAAACCATCTTGGGTTGTCTAGGGTCAGCTCTTCCCTGCCATGTTGCAGATGGCCAAGTGGTTCACCTCTTTCTGCACAACCCACTTTGTTTCTCCTTTTCCGTTTAGATCAGTTTTCCCCCTTCATCTACCTTCCCACCCTCTCAATTTTATCTTAATTATCTCTTATTTTTCTAATTAGGCCACTTTGGCATTGCGTATCAATATATCATTGCATTCTAAGATATCAAAGCATCTTCACCTGTCTTTTCTCTCAGATAACTTTATTGCCTTTTAGTACTGAAGAGTATTTACACATATTGCAAAGATACATACAAAAAAAAATGTCTCCAGCCACTGAACAGTGTACTATTTTGTTAATGGTACAATACATTCAAACTTTTGTTCCTCTTATTTATCTCTCCCAGTTCTTTTTCTTAGTATGCTTCATGCCAGTTTCCCTGCTGACTCCTTTACATGTTTGTGCAAATCAGCATTTCTGCATTCCCAGAAAAGCATTATGCCCCAAATCACATGTCTTTGTTCGTTCTTGCTTACCTTTCTCTTTTAATAACAACTCATAGTATCATTTTAAAGCATGAAGGAAGAGAGAATTTGTAAATTGAGAAATGGAGGCATAAGAAGTTATGACTTGTCTAAAAAGGTAGAAGCCCCCAAGGATTCGGATTATAGCTCTTGTCCACTGAATCTATTGGACTTTCTATTAAACTGTAAACTATACCATGTCTACTTTTATGTTCATGTTTCCATTTTTTTTATTTTTGCATATGTTAGTGATTCTCTTCTATTATTTCCTCCCTTTTTTTTCATCCAATGAGTATGTATTTATTACCTTCTATGAGCCAAGCACGGTTCGAGATTGGTTATATGGCAATGAAAAACAGTAAAAGTCCTTGTCCTCAAAGAGCTTGTGTTCTAAAGGATTTTAAGAATTTAGTTGCACAATTCAATTTGAATTAATTTTTAATTCCTAAAATATACTCTCTGAATTCAGCATTTCTTCTCCTTATCTTCATTTTATTCATATTTTGACCACCACCTCTGTTTCTCCCCTAGTATGTTCCTCT